GTAGGCGGGCGAGCGCCTTTGCCCCCCGCCGCCTCGGGGTAAGCGGGCTGGGGCTGGTTTTCACGGCCTGGCTGCGGGGCTGGGCTCCTTGTGGCATTTAAAGGCTGACGTGCCAGGCCCCTCACGTCGCCTCCAGCTCTGGCACCAGGCGGGGAAGTCCGAGTGCTGGCTGCGCGGTTCCCGGTGGAACAGCCGCGGGCCCCGGCACAGCGGTTCCCGGCTGAGTTTTTCTGCCCGAAGAAGGGCTGCAGGCATTCCGCCATGGCAGGCAGCAGTTTGCTCTACGGCAGTATTCATCCTGCCTCGAAATAAAGGCAAGTGTGCTACAGCGTTTTGTATCTTGCCGAGATGCTCACTGGAATATCAGTGCAGCACCTGCAGCCAAGCCTACCTGGAGGCATTATTTTACCTCTAAGTGACATGTTCTACAAAAATATTTGAGAAAGCTACAGATAACGATGTGGTTTCCTACCGAATAGCATGGTTATTACAAAGACCCAAACTAGCCCAGGCTGCTGTGGCAGGAAAAATGATGTGGGAAGTAGTGTTTGGGTAAAGAAAACACAAAACCACATGGGTATGTATGCTGCCCAGGCTGATCAAAATTGTTCCGAGACCAAAATAGGCAGTTCTCAAGCTGCTTCACTACTTCAAGCCAAGGGTTAAAGATCAACAAGGATAGTGACAAAACATAACGCAGACCTCAAGCTGTCCCTTGTTTCCACATCAAAGCAACTGGTGTCAGATACTTTTCAAGTAGGTATAATTTTTCTGATAAACATGTTTTGTTTGACAAACATCTTGATTGTCAAACAATAATATGTTTGATGGGTAGGAGAGAGACGCATGTGTTTCCAGATGCTCTATACAGAAGACTGTCCGAAGAGCACATCTCATTAAGGCATGATACCTGTGTCTCTAGGTGGTGTATCTTGGAAAGGGAACTTTTCGCTAGATGAATGTGCTCTTAAGTTTCCAATTTTGCTAGACAGTAGTAATATAGTTACGATCACAAAAAAATTATTTATAGCCTCAATGCTGGAGACTGATGACCTGTATGGGAATATCGATGTGTCTTAATTCAGTAAATATAAATGAGCTTCATACATTCTGTAAACAAGTTTAATTCAAATTTTTTATAAAATACATCTTGTATTTACACATATACCTCATCTAAAAATAGGAGTTTGTTGAATGCAAAATTATTACAAACTATCAGAACCATTTGAGAGCTGTTTGTACATATTTCTTAGACAGCATGTGCAAAAGGTGACCCTAGAGATACTAAGATTAAAAGGTGCAAATCTGCAATTGTGTACAAAATATGTACCGGTAAGTACGTATCTACATTGCATATCATACATGTGCCAGTTCTGTGGAAAAGAACAGTTACAACTGCAACTAAATTTCACAGCACATTAGTATAGAAGAAATTAAGATACTTGGAGAGTAAATAGAACATTCTTGCATCCTTTGAATACTCATAGCCATTTCAGATGCACAGGATCCATTATGGACATCTAACGAACCATTATGGAAAAAGGAACTAAGCTTAAAGCTGACAGCCTAGTAACCCAAAGGTATCCTTGCCCTTCATGTTTGCCGTGTTAGTTAAACATGTATTCACAGCATCTGGGTTGAGCCTCCTACTACTAATTGGATATTCCTGTTAAAAAAGCATGCTATGAAAGGAGAGGCAAGACCAGATTATTATTAAAGATTCCAAAACTAACGTGCTTGCCTTTTTTTTGTTTTTTAAATACATTGTAACTTCATTTTTTAAATTTTTTTTTTTTTTTTTTAGAATGCAGTATATGAATGCTCACAAAACACCTGCAGATCAGTACTAAGCTCCTGGTGTCATCAGTTTAGAATGACTCCACAGTAATTCCACCAGAACTTCTGCTGAAGTCAAAAAAGGTGAGAAGTCCATCACCAGTTTTTCTCTTTGAACGTATTACAAGTTAGAGCGTTACCATTTATGCCACGCATCAGCTTCAACTAGTTGCGTTTAAAACCAACACAAGCACCAGCCAGAAAAGCAGACCAAGTAAGCTAAACGTTTGTGCTAGAGTTGGAATTAAAATATAAGTTACTAAATAAAAAATAAGTTACTAAGATGGCAAGTTACACAGTCTAAAATGCAGAAAAACTCCAGCTCTGATAAGGAAATATGTCTATTAGGGATCAAAAACGGCCCTTGCTATTACCTTGTCATGCTTGATTTTTAATTCCAGCATTAAAAAAAACCAAACCACAGCAAACCCACGACACAGGGAATGCTTTTTTTCCCCTGTTACCCCAAAAAAACATTAAGAAACCTAAGATCTATTTGGCAACACTAAGTACCAAAGATTGCAAAGGACCGAGTACCATGCAAAGCGAACCTCAGTGGACTGGCCTTGTGAAGAAACAGTACCATAAGGACCGTTACATAAGCAATCAACACAGCACACAGGAAATATTTCACATGTCATCACGTTATTACATAATCCTTGGAGAGTCAAAATTAGCATGACTGTAATTGTTACCAAGGCTGCCATTCTGCCTTATTCAGTGTCGGAAGAATCTGGCCTTACAAATGTTTATTTCTCTTCGCAAGGGATTACTAGTACTGGGGGGCAAAAAATGCATGCGTGTTAAATACCACGCTATTAAAAGCAAGACAGAGCACGATGTTGTAAAACATAGTTAGGGAAGCATTGTTTTTATTTTATCATCATAAAATAACATTTTTTTAAAGATCACACAAATTTGATAGATCATCTTTTTTTTTCCCCCCAACATTAAACCAGCACTACAGTTGAGAAAGGTGTTCACCCATTTCTCTGTAAGTTTATACTTTTAAGTAAAATAATTTGTTTCTCTAAATATGCAATTTAATTAATTATGTCACACAGGAAATAACTTGCTCCTTTGGTCGGAGATAGTAAATGAAGACTTCAAATACTTGTATCTTCAATTTTTAAAAACCCAATATACATCCTTAACCAAGGAGTATTTACGCTACACACAAGCCATAGATACAAAATACACAGTATATACATGTTTTGAAAACAAACTGGAATTTATAAAAACTGAACAGCCAAATCAAAGTAATCGAGGCACTAAAAATTAAAAGTAGTATCTTCGTGTCTGGATTATACAGACTATTCTGTGAACAATCAGGACTGCTTCATAAATATATATTATCTACAGAATTTGCTGTGCCAAAAAAGCCAGCTGTGTTTAAGCTGAAAAGAAAAATTGCACTTTTGAGATTGTTACAGGTAACTTCTCATTTTTCTCCTCCAATAGAGTAATCTGGTCCTAGTGCTTTTGGCACAGGTACAGAGTTGTGGTTTTGCTACACCTTCTTATAAAACACAGCGTTCTTTTATTTTGTTCGTTAAAATCTGAAGAGTCTTAAACAAACCTAGAACTTTGATACAAATCTATATAGCTACAATTGTTTCATTAAATAATATACACAAATATGCTCTTCGATCTTAAAACATCTGGACAACTGGATACAAAACCGTCACTTGTATTCTCTCCAGCCGCCTTAACCTTACCATGATCAGTCTGCAAGTGACTAAAATAAGGTTTCTGGCCACATCTTGCACTAGATCACACCCCGGTGTACAAGGACAGAAAATATATGTATAATAAAAAGATTGGATAAATTAGAAGGGGTTTCTTGGTCTTGAATTCTTCTCCAACGAGTAATGACGCAGCACTGTATGCAGCCCAGAAGACTCCAAACAACTGAAAAAGAAGATGAACAGTCTTAGCTGACACCACAAGAAAATCTCTATCAAGATAAAAATAATTTCTTCTCTAAATATCAAAAAAACCACCCCCAAAACAGCCCAAAACATCATTTTGGGGGGGAAAAGAACTCCACACACACAAGAAGAATATACTGTGCCCTTTCATTTAAGTTTAGAGAAATATTTAACAAACAGGCATGTTATTTTTGTATTCATTTTTACTGAAGTGAGAAGCTAAGGATCTACAGTAAGTTTAATATATAACACACAGACATCAAATGGCAAGCTGCAAGCTTACATACACCAATAATTTGAAACTTCACTTGATTAATAACTTTTCTTCCTACCTTGACTGTCCCCAGCCATTAGCCCCTCCATTTCTTTAAGCAAATGAGTTACTATAGTTGACTCTTCCTCTTACAATATATACCAGAGAGTTACATTACCATTTTTTATTTCAGGATTCGTCTGGCTCATAAGCTTTTCTTTAATCACGGTGCCCCCACCTCAAGGTAACTGAAACTCACATCCCTATTCCTTTCAGGTGCAGTAAGAAGCCTGCCAAAATGAGTATTAAAGGAAAAATACTTAAATCTGAGTGGCACCCGAACACTGTCATCTTCTGCACAACACAAGACCAAAGAGGGCAGACGTGACAGGACCCCAGCACAGACCTTCTGAAGTTCTGTCAGGGGAGCTGAAGTCCTTTGTGGGATTACGTGGCCTGTTCAACTGCCACTGTTGCCTAACCCAGGACTGCAGAGGTGGACAGGGACCATCAAGATTGTGACTGAATTCCCTAAGATAAATTAGGAAAATTGCTGCAATTAAAACAACTGAGGTGCCTTACTTGAGTAGTTTGCTTTGCTGACTGCAACTGAAAAGAACTGACTTGGAACTGCACCATTTCACTGTAAGTTCCCCAACACCGGGGCTGTGAAGTACTTCCCCAAGCAGGGAGCTCTCAAGCCCTAAGAAGCAGTGCTTGTCACAGCCTAAGTGGGTTTGGCCACATGGGCTTGTCCTGCATTTTCATCCTAATGATGCAAAGGCCAGAACCTTGCAGAGGTTAGCCCTGAAGTTAGCGTAAGGCTTAGCGGTACTCAAGTAACAGAGGTTTCGTTGACATATATTGATTTTCAAGTTACATATTAGTTAACTGGCAAGTTAATAATTTGCTTCCTGCCGCTATCGCCTTTCAATTACCGATTTGGTAATCGCAAGTTACCAAATCACAAATACAGCAATTTTCTTATTTATCATACACTTTAGGTGTTCTTCAATTCTACTGTTTACCAGCAAGCTAAAAAGGACAGAAATCAATCAACAGAACAGGAACTCAAAAAGCATACAGCTCAGCTAGTAACAGAACTTTTTCAGTCACCCTTCCCACAAGTTCAGCAGTAACTCCACAGGCTACATAAAGGGCTTCAGGAAGTAGTGGAGGCCTTCAAGAATGTTATGTAGTTCTGGGATCTATCAAGGAACGTCTTTAGTTTCATAACAGGCATCCAACAGCAGGTGGTACCAGGCAAGTTGCTCTTACTTTCTGCCTTACGCTCCACATCTGTGAAATCAGAACAATACTTACCTTCTCTGCAAAGGCTACCGAAAGCTTTGTACTGCTGCCACTGTGGCAAGGCCTCAGAACAATGACCAACATCATATTCATGCTGCAGTAGCTAAAAATAAACTGGATGATGGGGGAAGGGATGGAACAGCTTATTTTCAGAGTCGTCATTCTGAGGTTTAATTACGCAGCCTCTCCTCAATACGACAATCCTTTATTTTTAATGCCACTATTACAGCACAGCAAAATACTTAGCTAACCTGATAAGTGGTGTTGTTATAGCAACAGCACTATATCTCCCCACTCAAAAGAAACATTTAAACCAGAAATCCCTTAGCAGTCACATCTGCCGTGCTAACCAAAAGGATCACAGAGCTTACGCTGCAGTTCTGACCATTTTCACACACTGTAATGTTGTCCTGAAGAGATCAATACTTGAACTGCTAGGAGAGTGATGTAAAAATAACTGTAAACAGTTTTCAGTAGATGATACTGAACTTACTTTTATTAGGGTAGAAACAACTTCAAAAGATCCAACCACCAAAAGTACGGGCGCTATGACAATGAGGGGAAGTAGCGAATATCCTATGACTCCAAGCACTTGGCCATAAGCAACCTGAAAATTGCAAGCACAGAAAACCAAGCTTTGTAGTACTCAATCTTTATCACCAAACACAAGTTGATCTTGTTATAACAGTATGAATAGGGATAATAAAGTGTTTGATATTCATGAAAATTCAGCCAAAGGAAGCTTGCTAGTAGGAAAATTGGTTTTGTATGCTACCCCCTAAAATTTTGTAATGAATAATTTAACTCTTAGATACATGTTGTATTTTTTTTTTCTTTTAACACTGTAAATGACAGTTTTATCAGTTCCAAGGGAAGTATTTACACAGGTTAAAATCTGTAATTCCACCCACCCCTTGCATTTTGATGCTCCGTCTTAAAGTGATTCCCAACTGCCACTCTCCATGGAGTGTACAAGTGATACCCAGGAGCACAGAACTGGGACAGACCGCTCAGTCACCAGCTGTAGTCCTGGCTGTCACAAGCAGCAAAGACATAACTGTCTGTATTTAACACACTCATAGCCATGATACATAAATAAATACATGAAGTACACGAATGCGTCTGGCATCAGTGGAAGACGAGAACCTGGTCCCTCTAAGAGGCAGAGCTCTTCTGATTTTCCCCTTTAAATTTGTTATCACCACCTTAAACAGATTTGTTCAAATATTTCCGTAACTGTTTTTATCTTCATGGGGATTAAAATATCAGATTTTCCCTGACTATGATTTGAAACGTTCCTGGGCCCATCTAGGCTTCATGGATTTAAGAGAAAAAAAAAAAAGTGGTGAAACAAATTATCATCTTGCAAGTAACCTCGCGTGGCCACTGATCCTTCACAGTAAACTGTGCAGCCCTATGCTTTCTCCCCAGTTTATACATTCTGATAATTTCACATTTTGAGCCACAAACCAAATTGATTTAAGGGCATCTGGATTATGCTGGTATGCACAAATACCAGACACATTTATAAGAGCTGCTTCTTTCAAAACAGTGTTCACACAAGAAGACTCCAGCAATTATGATTAAAAGGAAAGGCTAAAAAAGTCAATGGAAATAAGGTAGGAAGTCTGCATCACTACCTCATCATTAATGCAAGATGCATAGTAAAAATATGGAAGTTGAGTATCACTGAATACTTAGTTGTTCGCAACACAGTTCAATGCATTTTATGCTGCAGAGCCATTTAAGAAGTTTCTACCCTCCTGGCTGCTCTGATGTAGCTGTCTGCAGGCCTTGTTGTAAATCATTTTTGTTGTTTAGACCTGAATCTCTTAGTGACTCAATTTGTAAACAGCTCAAACAGCTATTCCAGCCCTGCTGGTGCAAGCAGCTGGAGGGAGGGATGTAGGCCAGAACTTCAATTGGCTTGGCAGCTGAAGAGCATGCGCTGATTTTCATCCTTTAATGAATTTGAACTGTATCAGGCCGAGGATGAAAACAAACACTGGCAGGTGCCCTGCTCACAAGGGCATTATATAAACTGCTGTTAGCCTAATTTAAAAAAAGTTTAAATAAAGAGCAGAGCCAGAGCAATGCAAAGGAGGAGAAAGGGTCCCATTTAGCTCAGTGACTGAAAAAAAACTGAAAGCACTTGTCCCTCAAGAATGGACTCCAGCTCTGGACCACAGCCACCTGTTCAAATTTTCTGGGATTCATAGTGCAAATTTCCAGATTATTACATGCAGTGCACCATCCATCACACACAAGGAGGGCCATGAAGATGATCAGAGGGCTGGAGCACCTCTCCTATGGGGACAGGCTGAGAGAATTTGGCTTGTTCAGCCTGGAGAAGAGAAGGCTCCGGGGAGACCTTATTGCACCCTTCCAGTACCTGAAGGGGCTACAAGGAAGCTGGGGGGGGACTTTTTACAAGGGTCTGTAGTGACAGGACAAGGGGTAACGGGTTTAAATTGAAAGTGGGGAGGCTTAGATTGGATATCAGGAAGAAGTTCTTCCCAGAGAGCGTGGTGAGGCACTGGAACAGGTTGCCCAGAGAAGCTGTGGATGCCCCATCCCTGGAAGTGTCCAAGGCCAGGCTGGATGAGGCTTTGAGCAACCTGGTCTAGTGGAAGGTGTTCCTGCCCATGGCAGGGGGGGTGGAACTAGATGGGCTTTAAGGTCCCTTCCAACCCAAACCAGTCTACGATTCTATGATCTCTGTATTTTAGATTTTTTTTTTTTTTGGAGGCCAAGAACCTGAAATGCAGATGTTACAATTATCAACTGCATTCATTCTTAGCTGGCTACAAGGTCCAAAGCCAAGTACCAAGAAAACCCAACTACTACTGAAAAAAGTAGTCAAGAGACTTTGTCACCTCCCTCTACATCCTTTTTGCATACACATACTTACTTCTCCTCCAAGAACCCTGGCCAGTAAAAAAATTGTCAAGGATCCAAATATCCAAATAGTTATAATCCAAGAAACAACCTTAAGAGATAAAGAACAATTCATTTGCATTAATAATTTTCATGGTGAGAAAGGAAAACTCATTTCTATTAAATCACATTCACTGTAGTCAAGGATTTTGTTATGCAAATCCGAATTATGAGCTGAATGAAGAATAGTTTTACTCAGTATCACAATGCAACTTGAGAACAGAATTCCAAGGTTACATTTACAGTCACATTAATGGTAAGTTTGGTGGACAAGGAATGCACATGCGATGTGTTTTATAAGTAACCTAATGCTGTATCAGAGTAGGAGGAGTTAAGTTAAAACTGAAGCTAAGACAACCCAAGTTCATTGACTTCACATCCTGCCTAGTACAAAATGTGGGCTCAGACAGTTTTTAAAAGTCAGCCCAACCATTACGAGGAGGTGGAATTCCACTCTTTCATCCGTGAAGACGACACTTTACTCAAACTGAGGATGCTCAGAAGACAACACAGGACTGTAACTCTCCATAGAACTTCATGATGATTACAACCTAAGAAACAGCCCCAGACTCCTGGAACAACGTCTGTAATTAATTTTTCTTGCTTCTTTCATTGCTCTGCTCTTAAAATGAAATTTTAAAATCATTCTCCAGCTTAACAGAACCTTCAAAGTAACTTAGCTATTCTTGGAGTTGAGGCACTGGGAGGATTAGAAATGATGCTCTCCCTTTTCAAATACCTTTTCAGAGGGAAACAACATTATCAGCCCAGTCTCTGTATTTCCAAATGAAGTTAGCACTCAATTAATTTTTTTGCCTAATTAAAAGTTCCAGAATCACAGAAGAATCAAACAGGGAATGATTTTTGGGTTTTTTTTTACATTTAAAAACAAATAAAAATCACAGCACCACTTCAAAAAATTAAGTATAACAGCTTTATGTTATTTGTGAAAATAGTGCATGGTTGCCTTTTCCTTCCTGCTTTCTTCTACTGTCTAGAAGAGGACCAGATTAAAGTCTTAGCGCAGGCACGCTCATCTCTCTACAGCTTACAGCCCACTATTCACTTCATCTCATCTAGCTGCTGTCACTCACCCTGTTGCTAGCTACTAGCTCTCCATCCTCACACATGTACAGCACTCATATCTGTATGGCAAATCCACCATTCCCAAGAAACACTGAGCCTACTATTCATGTGCAGTAGGTACACAAACTGTAGAAGACAGTTTATCTGTCGTGGGATCAAGGAACGGTCCGTGCTTTGACTAGGAGACAGCAAAGGATCCACTTGAATCATACAGTAGTGTAGTCTACTCACTTCAAGTCTCATAGAAACAAGATAGCGAGAGTGAATTCTTAGTCAGCATTTGGTACGCCATATGGAAGCCAGAGGTCGCAAAGGGAATCATTTTATCTCACCATTCACAAAAACCCTTCCATAAGCACATTCTGTTACTTCACATATGGCTCACTGCTACACTGCATTGTATTTAAAATAGTCAAAGATTTCCAAAGCAGGACCACGTTTGAATTGTGACTGTAAGTGTTACCACTTCTCTGTTTCAATCTGAACGTAAAGAAAAAAGCTAATGGTGTTTTTGGAGGCCAATTAAACCTGCACAATGGCTCTGAATAGCTATTCACCCCAGAGTTCACAGGGAATTATGGAAAAAGTCTATCAACCAGAGGAAAGTTATTTGATTGTAATTGAGCTGGGAGGACAAAATACCAAATGGCACTATGAGGCTTAAATATACCAGATAGCAGTGGTGATATAGTATGAATTAAACAACTTGCTTTATTTGTCAGGAAATTAAAATTCATGACATCCAAACAAATGTTCTCCGGGAACACTTTCTAGTAATACAAAGCACGTTAACAATTAAAATGGAAAGATTCACTAATATGGCCATAAACTCATTAGTACCAATCTGTTTCCTCTAGAAACCACGTCTTTCCTTTGGTTTACTGTATAAAAACAAATCTGACATTTCAACATGATTAACTTATCCATGGGCTATTAAATACATTTCTTACTGCTGTCTTTCTACACACGAACTTAAGAAACAGCACTCAACACGCCACGCATTAGTACGTGAGGAAGAGACTCCCTACCTACGTAAGAATGCAAACTCCTTAGAAATCATGTCCCCAAATTTAATTAAGATTTCATTTTAGGTAGAAGGCTTATACCTACCTTAAACTGTCCATATAATGAAATCATTGAGAAGAAGAGGACAACTGCCAGAGGACCCCAAAAGTCTGGATTATCTCTCACTACCTGCCTGTTAAACCCAAGAGATGGCATAGGCATCAACACACATCGAATTTTGTAGTAAATATCCTTCAGATCAATGTCGAGTTCTTCCCTAAAATGGTAAAGCAAGAGAGCATTACTATACACCACAGTAATGACACAGAGCATAAAAAGTAAGTTCAGGGGCAAACAGCAGGCTTATAGAGTAAGTCTGAAGTTTCATGAAGCCGTTCCTGAAGCCATGACTAGCAAGGAACAGTTCATCCACAAGAGAGCAACACCATACCTTCATCCCACATCCTGTACCTGCTGTGACACAGTCAGGTATGTTTAATTATTCAAAAGTACATTACATGACAGAATAGAGAGGATACACATACCCTAAGACAGAGCCTACAGTGAGACAGTAGATCTATTCCGACACGACACATTCCTATCACCGTAACTGTCTGAGAGGCACAGGCACGCATACACAGAAGCGGGATGTCCATGTATTCCTATGCTGAGCAGCTTGCTGTCAGCACACCTATTATGGAAACATTTCATTTCAAATTCTTCTAAGAACACCGTTACATTCACTGACCCTAAACCATTCAAAATACATCAGGTAAGAATGTTTTTTTAAAATAAAATGGGATTTCACTTGCTTCAACTGCAGTAGCTTTCAACAGACCAGTTTATGTCAATTGTTGAATTACCGGCTTGTTTCCAGTATGGGTAAAAATAAATAAAAGCCAATTAAACTAGCAATAAGGATCAACAGATCTCGTTCTTCTCTAATTCCCTTTGCCACTCCCTGCTTTAAACTACCTGTAAGCAGCTGAAACAAAGAGACTCTTCTGCACAGGAGGCTCTTAACTGGTACATCTTGTCCCTGTTGTCCTAGCGTAAAGGGAAGCAAGCAGACTTTCCAAGCAACGGGCAATTCTACTTCTTTAGGTTCATGCATGGAACCTTAAGACAAAATTGTACGCTAGTGTTTTCCTTATGCAGTCATGACTGAGGAGCCCTGAGGAGTTGCAAGACACTTCCCAGCAGATATCCCTCTGCTCTACATTTAACAGCATGGTGGAGAAAAATGTAGAATCAGATCCTAAGTCTGTGTATGAAAGTTTTGTACAAGGCTTGAATTTATGGCTTTTTCCTCAGAAAAGCTGAAGCAAGAAATAAAGGCAAAGACACGATTCACCACAATTTCTGTTAAAAAAAAAAAATTAGATACTGCTCATTCAGTCTCTCAAGGCAATTTCTGGATTGCTATTACTGAAGCTATTTCAGAATTGTTATTACTAACCTGTGACTAAAGAGCAAAAATCATTCTTTAGCACATCCCTAAATCTAAGGAGTAGACTAGAAGCATCTATTTTCCTCAATTTTATCTCAACAGGATGTAGCATTCCTGTATTTTACTCTGAAGATTGTGTAACACAAATATTTCCTGTCAGGAAATAATTCTTTGTCATTGCCGAGGGCTTCTGACAGCTTCCCATGTGAATAAACCGCCCTACGCATGCAGCTGACAGGTACCTCACCTAAGAGGTGATGGTAGCTGCGACAGCAAACAAGTGCCTGGAGTAAGGCTGCCCAGTGAGAAAACAACCCAGTCTCGCCCTGTTGAACAAACCGCTTGCAGGGTAGTGCTGCGCTGGGGAACTTCCCTTAGCTGACCACTGTACTTTAAGGCCTTAGCAGGATTCAGGTTACAAGGCTTCGTTACAGCACATGTTCTGGGAATAAGCAGAACTACATAAAAACTGCTACATGAAAGTCAGAATTAGGACTTGTCCATTGGAATGATCATATTCATCCTCTTTGCCACAAACTGATCATTTTCCTGGCATGCTCTCCTCACTTCCCGCAATCAGCGGCTTAGAACACCTAGCTGCCTTTGAATCAAACTTGGGGTTTGTGGTATATGAAGTTATACAAAAGCGGGAACTGATACATTGTCACCTCAGTACACCACTCTGTTTCTTAATTAAAGGTTGGAGGTTTACAGAACAGACTTATTCACACAAGGAGCTACTTTTGCACACTTCAAAGTACTTCACATGTGACAGTTTCATTAAGCTCTCCAGACATCTGTTCTCACCCAACACTCGAGTTCTCCAAAGTACTTTCCTGCTCACTCCATTTTTTTTTTTTTTAAAGCATCATTATCTTTAATTCACACAGGCAAACACTGAGAATGAAGTTGCTTAAGTGCAGAACAAGGACTAAGGCCTGGGCTGCCTGACTCACAGCGTAGTAACCTTCACAGACAAACTTCTTCCAGCCAACCACATTTCTGTGACGGAACGAGGGATGCAGAGATTTTCAGTTTTAAAAACATCTTTGTCTTCCAACACTAACGCCCTTTTAATTTAGATTTATAATATAAGATAGCATCAGATTACAGTTTGTGCTAGCTTGCTTCTAGCATCCCTCCTGTAATAAGCATGACTCACAATGCGTTTACTTCAGAGTAACTGGCAGAATTTACTCAACACGAACCTTTCCAGAGGACTCTCTTAGCCTGATTCTTTGACAACTGTAAGAAACTTGCAACACCAGCGCAAAAGACAGACTATAATCTACTTTTTTTAAACCATTACAAGATCAACAGATAGGAGCAGAAAAGCCATAAAAACTTTATGCTTCCAGACATTAATAAAATTGGATTTTACCTCCTCCTCCCCTTCCTCCCCCACAGCGTGGAACAAGACTCTAGTTTACACTAACAATATAACCCATATTGAGAAACAGTTTTCATTCCTGCACCAGAAAACACTCAGTGGTCAAGTAATTTGTTAAACAGGATTCTCAGCACAGCAAAAGGCTGTGGGACAATCTGAGAGGCTATGAGTTCTCTAGTTTTCCTACACAGCTAATAAAGACAGATACCCAAAAATAATAATGACATACAGGAGTGGCTTGTTATCTTCCGGGTCATCATCTTCCACTTCCAGAAGCCAGCCATACCCTCTCTGTCTTAGGAATGTAGTTGCAGTAGATTCCTTGATGAATTCTCCTCCAAGATTTAGCTTAACATCTGGAGTTGTTATGGAGCCACCAAGATCTTAGAGAAAAAGGAAGAAAGAGGTGTATCCTTGTGTATCTTGCCAAAAGCCATTTGATATCAAATGTACTGGAAAATAACAGACAAACAAAGCTACATGTGCTGGCGATCACCATGAAATACTCAGTTACAGAATAAAATTATCCTTTACCAGACAGATAATTTGAATGGGTACTTGTGATTTTAATGCAATGGTAACAATGTTGGCTTAGGTCTCAAGTTAACAAGTTTTAGCTTCTCGATGGAACTCTTGTTTTGATGGCACAGCGTTATGGTATGACAGAAAGGCTTCAATCTGTGCTTTATCATTAAGCATTTAAAGGCATAATGGGAGTTAGTTAATGAAAGTCTCATCAAACCATAGCTGTGGATTATTTACCATTTTTTTGCTGACCACAGCACACCTCTCTTGAAGTCTGTTTCAGCCAAAACCATTCTCGGCTTTTATGCCCAATTTTTCATGAAAGGAAAACATCTGAAGATGTTCTCATTTGTAACCTGCCTTTAATACAGGGGAGTATGTTAGAAAAAGAACACTATCAGAGATCCTTAGGCTCCAGTGAATAACACGAGATACAGGGAGCTCTCTTTAACATACTATGATCTTGCTCTGCCACAGTACTACACTAAACAAAGAGCAATTTACATATGTTCTGGCCATGTCGAGTCACCAATAAATATTCATTTTATTTGCACATTTTATTCGGTTATATTAAGATGCAAAATACAAAACAGTAACTTAAAATATACAAAGCAGCTTGAAGAAAGCAGAAATATGGAAAAGGAGAATAATTATTCCTTTAGGAAATAATGAATTTCCATTATTTTGTATAAAAAGAAAAATCCAAACAGATACACATCAATTTTTCATACAAGCCTTCATACAAATTTATTGAGAGACAAAAACTCTCTTCTCATCCAACACTTTTTGCTTCACCAGAGAAAACTTGTGTGTTCTTCACCCAAAGAAGTTCCTAGGCACAGGCTTCCCAAGACACCTACCTATAGCAAGTATTTCCAAAACACATACACAGAGGCCAGTCAGGCCATATTTGTAGATTACACATGCGACACCTACCAAAATGCAAAGTAGTTTTACAGAACCTAAATCTGTAGAGTGACAGAACCTCACAGTCCTCAGCCAGCATGATGGAAGTAGTCACTGATCGCTCAGCGCCCCAATTAATTTAACAGAATTCTCCTTCCCAAATCAGCTTGCTAGGCCACTCAAGCTTACATTCAAGCTTCCCCATAAATGCTTTTCAGCCCTTTCATAATCATGAGAGTTAATGATCCATTGCTTTGATTCTAGGCGATCCTTGTAATGATCACCGTAACTTAAGGAAAGAATTTTTCTTTGCTCCCTTCAGTAGCAGCACATATATGCTGTTCTCACCAGACACAAGCAAAGCCTTCCTCTGCTGTCTACAGAGGGAGGGAAGAACAAAAATGTGTACTTAATGCCTGGGCGTCAAGGCAGAGAAAGCCTCAGAAGTTTCCCATTGCCACTGGGACCCTTTTGTCATTTAAAAACATTTGTTTATGCCAAAATTAACACTGCTTTGCAAGAGGTTCTTACTAATCTTTGTACACCCACGTGGCTGTCAAAACAAGCAAATGTAACAGTCCAACCAGCCTTTTGTTTTCTCCTTTCTCAGTGACAGCTGACAATCCATCCTGAGACAGGGAAACTTCCTTCAGCAGCCCACCATCAGTGGATGCCTACAACCACGCTTTTTAATCACGAAACCTATTTAACATCAGCTTAAGCCTGTTTTGCAAGACATCTCAGGTGGGACATAAAGCCGCAGAAACCAAGGCAAAAAGAAGTTTGCCACCCCCTCTTCCGTAGCCTGCTTTGAATGAGACGGTTAGCAGCAGGCCAACCCCGTGCTGAGCAATCTGCCAAAACCAGATAATTCTGATGCCCACGAACGAGGGTTAGGGTGCCTTTGCTGCTACCGCCTCAGGCAGAACACGACAGAAGCAAAACTGAGGTATCTCACACGCCTCCTTTCAACCAGGCATTGTGGAAAACCAGCTTTCAAGAAAATCTTTGCTCTCAATTTTGAAAAAGCGGTACAAGAGGCAAAACCAGCCTCCAAACCCATTTTGTTCTTTATACCATCTCTGTCCAGCATTCTTTCCCACAAACAACTCCTACCTCGTGTGGAAATGAGATGGGAAAATGAAACAGCTTACACTTATTTCTCATACAGATCAAGACTTGGGAAACAAATAGGAATTAGAGCGCAACAGGTAGTATTTTGATTTAGAAACATCAAGCTGTTTAACTCTGCATGTGTGTGTTTGTTAGGGTAGGTCTGTGCAGCACCCTGCAGACAGGACTACGCTTGAACAGGCGGATCACACCTTGCTGGTGTTCATAAAGAACACTGAGCCAGTACAATTCAACCCATCCTACAGGAATGGCAGCTGCATTGGACTGGGTACAGCATTGCTCAACAAACACTTCCAGGTGAATCCAGAGAGTTTCCATTCAGAGGTACACTAATCCTTTTTCAGGCCAAGGTGGAGGGAAAAAAAAAAACACCAAAACCCCCAAACAAGAAAAAGCAACACGAAAAACCCCCCAGCCACGACTGTAGTTGTTGATCGGTATTCCCTGTCAGAAGGTCTGGGAAGTTCACCAAAGAACAGGCACTGTACAGCAGTTTTTCCACCTTCAGTAACTCTTTACCAGGGTGGGGCACGTCAGGGTTCATGTGATTCCTCAGCCCTCTCCACCATCACGACAGTAACTCAATGCACACATGAAGCAGAATGCTTGTCATTTACAAGGGCAGAGCCCAAGAGCTCGTTCCCCACCAGCACACGTCGGCACAACGCGACCCTGGTTTGTCCACCTTCCCGGCGCTGGGGCAGCTCTCCCCGGCACAGCACAGCCACCCGTGCAGCGGCGGGTCCCTCCCTGAACCACGGGCAGTGCTGCTTTTCCCCCCTCACCACCGCGCTGGAAGGCGGCCCGGGCTGCGCACAGCGCTACCGCGAGCGCGGCCACGGGCTGCCATCTCAGCAGACGCCAAACCGCGCTCCCAGCGACGGGGGACAGAGGCGGGACCCGTGACAGCGCCGGTGGTGGTTCCGCCAGGCCATAGAATCACAGAATCACAGAC